TCTAATCAACATTATATTTGACAAATCCTCTCAAATCATTCATTTATGTGAAAGACATGCACAACTAGGCACAAAAAATTGTGATTATGAGCCTCTCTATTAGAGCGCAGTTGAGCAACCAATACATTTAAGTCTCAGATACTATCATCTCTATGCACATTTTTAATGATTTTAAGAAAGAAAAATCAGATAGCTTTTTATCTGTAATCTTCCTCAGCATAACATAACAACAATCTACATAACACGCGAGCAATATCATCTCAAGTGTGATAGATGAGAAAAAAAGCCGTTTTGCTGCATGTTCATTATCAAACATTTTACAGCCAGTGGAAAAAAGAAGAGCTCCCTTTAACAGAAAATAAAGAAATTAAAATGAATATGAGCAAAAAGAATGACACATGAGCAGCATTCACCTGCTTTAACAAAGTCTGTCATTGCATACTGTGGTTCTCCCTTGGCCCCTTCTTCTGTTACAGGGGTGTACATAAAAACCAAGCTTGAATCAATGTCATCTGCAGTCAACCGATACTCCTCATCTTCAGCCCCATCTATCAAAACAGGACTACTATTCCAGCGCCGTCTCAACCAACTGAACGAAAAGGTGACAAATTTTCAAATGATAAAATTTGATAGTGTGAAGCAGCTGGCAGCCCAGTTTTAGAGTTCCATTACAAAAACCTACATATATGTCTGTGTGTGTCGACGTGTGTTCTCGTGTATATGTTACTCACCTTGCTACACCTTTCCCTGGTGTGCCACCACACCATGCAACCTCAGCAGATCCCTTTATCACATTTCCCTCGACAAGGTCACCAGTCACCTTTAAGTTTAAAACTTTCGGGTATCCAGTCCCTGGTTTTAAAACTGCCATCAGGCATGCAATATACATAAAAGCATTTTGGACGAAACATGCACCAGGAGATGTATCTATTTAAGGAACTAAAGAGAGATGTTAAACTTGTTTCTAAACAGGGAATAAACAATTCATGGTAAAAGGTTTTAGTGTTCTTCATAGTTTTATATTTTTGCACCTTCAAAATAAATAGCATAGCCTCCCCCCACGCATGCTACAACGGATGAATGTTATTACTAGTTTTAACATTATAGAGGAAAGGAAGTCAGGTTTTTGTCTACCTGTTTCTAAACAGGAAGTCGGGTTTTTGTCTACCTATTGCTTTAAGCTCTCTCAAAACTTTTAATCTTTTCTAGCTATTTGTTTATGAATTCTAGCAATCTATCGTAAACAATCATTTGCTCTTGTTCTTCATTTTCCAAAGATATTCACAAAAGTTTTAATATGATAATCAAGTATATCTGCAGATCTGCATTATTTTATCTTCATAGGAAATAAAACTAAAAGAAAGCACCTAGTCCATGACAATGATCAACATGAAATGGCTAATCTCGTAGGTGCATGAAATGTATGTCCAAAATCCAAATAGCAGATATTATTCATTCATATATTTAACCATGTCCGGGGAGGCAAAACCATAAGGAGGCTATCTTTGCATGTTTAGTAATCTTGTAAAAGAATTGCTCTTCATTCATCTTTCTTTGGTATATTCACATAACCATGTATTTTCACAATATTGATAGCATCATTTATTAAACATTGAGGATAACAATTTGTAGCAAATCATCATAGATAGTTAAGTAAACAATTTACATTACGAGAAATTAATACCCGGAGAAACAGGTGGTGATATAGCATATATAGAGGGGTACTCTGTCTCCTCTAATACTGGAACACACTCGACCTTCAGGAATTTTCCAATATCTTCATGTCTTGGCATGTATACCTTGTGATCAATAAGCCTATTAAATTTTAACACATTGTGCTATTAAGGAATCACCTTCTGAATAAACAAGAAAGTCAATGCAATACCTCGCCTAGTGCACCATCAATAGCCACGAAGTTAGTTGGGGTCTTGTCTCCAACATACCACTGATATCTAAGAACCAACTCAGAATCGCAGCTCGGATTAACAAGTTTAAAGTGGCAGCGACATGCATCTTCTTCAAAAGGTGGATCAACGAAGGCTTCTTTAAGCACGTGACCTAGGGGAAAGTGATCCTTCCATTGTTCAAGAAGGAATGAGAAGGATGAGTCTGCCCAACAGAATCACCAATAATCAACATATTGTAATATCCAGAGCAATTCAAATAACCATAAACGTTAGGCATAAGAAAAAAAGTATCAAGCAATACAAATGTGACAGAATAAATTCTAAACCAAACTTGTCAGCCTAAGATCTGATAATAAGCTAGACTCTCAGAATCTCTATACCAAAGAATGAAAATTCCACGTATCAGCAAACTCTCCTGTAAAACAAGGGCAAGTGTATCTATTCCCAGAATGCACTAGTATATTAACGCCTCAATCTCAGGTGTGCATAGTTTTAGGATTCTAAATGGAAAGAATGATGACTCAGAGATTACATCAAGTGAGAAGAAACCAAAAAAAGGACCAAGGAAATTATCATGAACACGGCCTGAATAGTTGATGTCCTTTAGTTGTTTTGCACTAAGGCCTTCAACAAATTATATAAAGATGTAGCATCAACGACAAATATACTTGATTAATCAGAGCCCAGTATCATTCAATAAATAAGTTTTCTTTACAATATAGGGAGGTGGAAGATAACTTCAAATTTTAAATTTTAATATTGGAACTTACTTTAATTTAGGTGTGAATCTACCTTCCAAAAGATGACATAATTATCGTGAATTTTCTGGTTTACTTGTCAGTAAAGCAAAAAAATTACAGGTGGTCCTATTCTTGACAACAAATTTTGACATCTCCTGAAAGGATTCTAGATTTGACCATTTTGATCTTCAAAATCAATGTTCCAAGAAAAAATATAATGGAGAAACATTTGTTGATCTCCTTTAGTTCTTCTTCATGAAGGCCTTCAACAAAATATCAATAGATATAGCATCAAGTACGAATATACGTGATTGATTAGATGTCAGTATCATTCAAATAGTAAATAATTTTTTTTAACATATAGGCAGCAGGCCGCAGGTGGAAACAAAAATTAAATTTGCATTAAAACACACTTTAGTTTATGTGTGAAATTTGTTTCTCAAAAGATTAGTAAGTTCTGTGATTTTCTGATTTACTTGTCAGTAAAGCAAAAAAAGGTATGATTTTCTTGTTCTTGAGAACTAATTTTTGACCTCTCCTGAAAGAATTCTAGATTGATAGCTAGATTGACTTTCTCGATCTTCAAAATCAATCCTCCTAGAAAAAATATGATAAAGAAAATTTTGTTATAATATACAGTCCATAGATATAGGAGTATGTCCGTATGTGGCATGAAAATAATTTTGAAAAAGTAATTTAGGTTTCCTTGCAAGACAGTAGGAAGCAATAAACTAAATGGTCACCAGGAACTTTATATAGTGAACATTTAGAAAGGGGAATCCAGATACATTTCAAATACAAGCACGTATTTCTATGATATCAAGATCAAAACAAGTATTAAAATGTTTTATTATATAAAGATTTTGTATCCAATAACCTGCAGCAAGCTCTGGACGGCAAAACTCCCAGCCATCCCTAATGCATAAAGCTGTGTGGGGAGGGTATAACTTCGCGATTTCAAGCTCCTTTGACGAAAGATCTGCATTTTGTGATATACCATTCAGACCAAGAAATAACCAATAACTAACAAATCTATAAAAGATTTTGACATGATAACATACTACATTAATTTCTATATTTATTAATAACCAAGTTGAATATGCTCTATGGAACCAATAATTTAGTTGATTGAGCTAATCATCTTAGTGTTCATGAAAACGAAAGAGTTGTAGCAATCTTCTTGATGAGCTTTAAAAGTGACCATATGTGTAAACTTATCGGCTGTGAACCTTGAAAGTTTCAAGTGACAATAAATTAAAGCTAATCATGTCTAGGGGCCTCAAGGCAATGACCAGTGTGTCAGTGACACAAATGATTACAGTGAAAAGGCAAAACAAAAAATAGTGATCGTAAAATAAAGAAACACACTAATGAATGCCATTCTGGGAAGTCATTGTACAGAAAGTTCACAAGCGCAATGTTGAAAATAGAAAACACATTGAAAAGGTAAAAGAAATGCTCTAGAACTGAAGGAAAGAAACTAAAGCAGAGTATACCTCGGTCATTGAACTTCTTTAGAGTAGGGCCAACAAGTATTATGGAAGCAGCTTGCAAATGAGGCATCTCCAGTATAGGATTTTCCTCCACCCGCAAATGCTGCAGATAGCACAGTTGAAACTTTATATGTACAGGCAATAAGAGCAGAAAACTTATTTTAATACACTCATATATAGTAAATAGTATGCTGATGTTAGATAAGTTACGAAATCCCACTAGGATTACACAAGTTAGACTCATCAGAGAATAGTGGCAAATGAATAAACTCAGGGGTCGCAGCTCTATTTGAAAAACATGTAAAGAGGGTGATCAAAGAACAATAATTATGAAAACAACAGAATTGAAAAATAATACTACTGATGTGGCTTTATTCCAGAAAATCACAATGGGCATCTTTTCAGCAAGTAATGAAAATATCAAGAAAGAGTATGACCCAATGCAGAATGCAGGACCAACTGTCTAATAGCGCATCCAAGATCCAATTGGAATTTAACAGGAAGGATTATCTCAATGAATAAATTCCTTGTCTGAAGGTTAACATTAAACAATATTCAACAGCATAATTGTGATCTGTGTTGGAAGTATACATATAAAAGATAAGAAAATTTGAAGCCATGAATTGTTCAATAGAGTCGAGAAGGTTTCTGTTCAGTAAGATATGAACTTTTTTGTCACTAGTGGGTTATTTGCAATCTTACTTCTACTTTGTGACATGTAATGTGCACTTTTCTTATATTGACATTGATTTTAGATAAAAGAAATAAATAAATAGTACATCTAGATGCATTTATCAAATGGTGAATCCTTACAGTGTTATCAGTTTCTTACAGTAGCTGAATAGCCACGTCTGCATTGTCTGCATTGCCTTCTCCATATTTATGCAACCTTTTTGATCTAGTTCCTAGGTACTCATTCATTATCACTAGTTTTAAAAACTATTTAGTTCACATTAGAAAGTGCAAGAAAAGGATGCACCATCTTTTATGCAGGTCTGCTCGTGGATATTTATAAGGCGTAAGCATTTTCTAAACATGAGAATATAATTTGTTTACAAAGAAAACTTGGGAAGAGAATTACCTATTTGGCCTCATGTCAAACAACATAAACAAGGCATGCCAACATTACTAATCTTTTCAGAATTTTGACCTTAAATGACTGCTTATTTGTTGTGGATCAAGTTATAATCCTGTTGATAATTTTGAGGCCACTGAGAATCAATGAAGCTGAAAACAGTTTCAACAGTCTTAAGTTCATAAGGTAATATCAGCAATAACACATGTGAAAACGACAAGTATTTGGCAAGTTCAGGACTAGAAAGGCAGAGAAAACCAGCACCCATATTGAAGTAAAAATAGACAGCTACAAAACTAACCTCAAGTACTGGTAAATGCGGGAACCCCTTTAGAGTTGATATCTTGTTCTTACTTGCAGCCAGTACCTAGGTGGAGGTCAAAGGAACCTCAAGAAAAATTGAGGGATTGAAAGAAGAATTAATAATATTCTTAACTAACCTGCAGGCGAGGCTGACTTGCCATAGCAAGAGACTTCAACCTGTTTTGAGCAACAGATAAAAACTAGAAGAAGAGGGAGCATTTCAGACCATAAAGACATTACATATGATGCCATAGAGTGGAAGACACGTTGTAAGCAAATTACATACATACCTCCAGATTAGGAAATTGAGGAAGGCTAGAAAGTGATGTAATTTGATTCCCAGCAAGATAAAGTTGCTGAATAAATAAGAAAATACTTAACTCAATGTTGCAAACAAGTTAAGATGCAAATCTAAGAAAAGCAGATATGGTTCTCACTGCCATAGGAAAAGATAAAGTTAACGCTGACCTGCAGGGCCTTGCAATTCCCAAGAGGCTCAAATCTGGGCTCCTTGAAATCATTAAAACTCAGATCAAGAACCTAAATATAGGACAAGGATTAAGGTAAGTGAAATGCAATCTGACGTCTCATAATGTTCACAAATTTAAACTTTTAGATTAGAAGAATGAGACTAGCACATAAACAATGGATAGGAAATCAATAAACTAGAGAAACCTACCTTCACTCGCTTCAATATCTCAATTCCCTCCACAGATGACAGCAGGTTGTCTCTGAGATAAACAAACTGCAGACCAGAAATGTGATAATCATAAAGGAATAACTCCTTAGGAACTATGTTTCAAGAAATTATTGTTTGACCATGCATGCGCAAATTCCAATATGGCCAGGAAAGAAATTAAAAAAAAGATAACTACTAATAAACACAGGTTATGATTGGCAAAACGGAAAGTAAAACCAACAAAAACTGCATGAAATCAGTTCAACTTTTTCCATCCCAACAGACATTTCTTTGCATTGTGAAAAGGAAAAAAAAAGAAGATAACCAGGGCCAGTCATGTTTTCTAAGCTACCTTTACAATGATATTCACCTCTTCACTCTTTCAATAATGCCAGGCTCATCCTCTTTTCCTTAAAGTGAATGCTGTTAAAAGTTATCTTCTTTGTTTTCCAATAAACCAAAACCGGACTTTCTCTCTCTAGATGTAGTCATTGTTTCAACATAACAGACTGATTTATTAATGAGCATAAAATGGAATGTAAGGCTTTACAAACGGAATTTTTTTCTTGGAGAATTGGATCCTGAAATAGCTGCAGGATACCAATTGCTATTAGTTGCTGACATATTGTAATGGCATTGTCTGCAGTAACATAAGTGGATGTCTTTTTTTTCTCATTGAAAGTTGCATCTACATAGTAACTATTTGAATAACTACTAGGGGTGTATACTAGTAAAATAAAATAGCTTACCTCCAAATTCGGTGACAAGTTCAACCCCGTGGCACTAAGACTACGAACTCTATGGCCCCGTAAATCTAGTCTCTGTATGAACAGAAAGAAAATCAGTAAAAACTGCATATGATACTTGGATCAATATCATCCCTGTTACCAAACTTCCATCATTTACCAGCTCATCTCCTGCTTTGACGTCCACCTGTGGCAGCATCATGAATCGAGCCTCCCGACTATCCGGAGTTGATGTCTTCCTTCGACCCGATAAAGACGAGCCTCTATCCACCGATGCAGACAAAGACCCCGACTTGAAGCTACTTGTACCTGAAGGCGTGCGTGGAGAAGAAACACTTGAAGGCGTCCTTTTAAGCCTACTTCTTGCAGTAGAACTATCCAAGGTAGGTGAAGGGGCCTTCTTCAAAGAAGAGGTAGCAGTAGTTGCGCTTGATGTGGAGTCTGATTTGCCACTTAGAGCCCTTGCAGATAACGCGAGGTGACAGGACTTTCGGGCTATTAGAAGGCAGTGACAGCCCTCTACTACCTCTCTAAGTAGAAGGAAAGCTTTTTTCCCGATGACTGTGGTGCCATTTTCCGGTCTTTTGATCGGCTTCTTCTCTGTCAATCCTCCGGTGCTGTTTCTCCTCTGAGCTGAAGAGGCTGTACTCGAGCTGATAGTTGGCTTCATTAGAGTAGATTTGGGTCTAGTGGAGCTCGACTCTGAGGTAGCATTGCTTTCGGTTCTTCGTTTAGTGGAAGAAAGAGAACCTGGGGCCTTATCATTTGGTGTCACTGTAGTAGATTTTGAAGCTTTCGATGAAGCTTTTGGATTTTCTGATGACTCGGCAGGAGCCATCTTTGTTGATGTTGAAGAGTTCGTCTCCATTTCCACTGACTTGCAGTTTCAATGGCTTTAAAAGGATCAAGAAACAAGGCAAATCATTCTCCTTTATCAAGAAGAGAATTCTCAAAATTTTGTTGTAAATAGGGGGGGGAAATCATAGTTTTAGCTAGTCCTCATAATTTTGAAAACAAATCAAAGAAAATGCTAGAATTTGGAGGAAAGTAGAAGCATTTGTTTTACAAAAGCAGATTAATTAGGTTTTCACGTGAACACTCTCAGTAATTTGAGGAAAACAACTACCATGCGACTAGAACCCTAAAACCCCACTGAAAAAAACTCCCAAAACTCAACCAAATCTAAAATCTCAAGTAAAAAAATAAAGGAAAAAACGCCAAACCCCTCCAAAGACAAGAATTCACGAAAGTTAAGCGAAGCAAAAAAAGGCGAGAAATGGGGGGGGGGGGGGGGGAGGGGGGGGGGGGGGGCGGGGGGGGCGGGGGGAGGGGGGGGGGGGGGGGGGGGGGGGGGGGGGGGGGGGGGGGATCATTGATGTCGCATAAGAAGACAACAATGATGTCGCTAAAACTCTTAAAACCCTAAAATTTCACTGAAATAGTTCCCAAAATTATAACTTTTTCCCGCTAATGTACGAAAATCTCAAGGACAAAATCAAAAGAAACTCACACGCAGGCAATAGTTCCCAATAACACGCAAAAATCCTAAAAGAATCATTAAATTCACAAAAACAACAATAATACAGCTAAAACCCTAAGGAAAACGCCTACATCAACAGATTCACAACCTCATTTCGAGATTGTGAATCGTTGATGGAATGCAGGTAATCTAACAGAGATCTCCAAGCTCTACAGAACAAAACTACCCAGAAAAAAAAGAAAAAAAAGATAAAAAAACAAAAGATGTTTTACCTTTGGAGCTCGCGGATCGATTGAGGGCCAAATGCTCGCAGTAACTGAACAGAGCAGCAGCAGTTCATCGATGGCCCAAAGGTTCGAACAGAAGCATCGAAAACAGTAATTCAAAAATTAATGGATCGATTAATTAATTGATTTTTTTATAAAATAATAAAAGGTGGCGTTTTTTTTAAAAAAAAAAAAAGAACCCGCTTTAGCTTCGGATTGGGTGTCGTTTCAAAAAGAAGCCGTGAAAGCTGCCGCATTGCTTCGACCCCTCGAAGGATCCTGGCCAACGCGATGATCTTACCTCCCAATCTTTTACCCCCAAATGGAAATTGTTTGGTTAATTTCACATAGCCCCCTCAACTTCGGGTGTTTTCCACGTAATTCTTCTGAATGTTGTTTATCTCACGTTACTCTGGGACGTCTCACAAGACACCCCTAAACTGTAATATTTTCTCATCAGGCCTGTCTATCTTTAATTTGCAAATAATTAATATTTGTCAAGAGAAAAATTCTTAATTTTGTCATGACCGGCAACGTACACCCTTCCTTAAATTTAGAATTTTTTTTCTCTTTAAAATTTATTATTTATTTGCAAATTACATGTAGGTGGCTCGGTTGTAAAAAGTTCATAGTTCAGGGGGGTTTGTGAGACACTCCAAAGTTTAGGGTAGTTATATGAGATAAACGAAATTTAAGGATTTTGTGAAAACCCCCAAATTTTAGGGTTTTTAAAATTAACAGTCGTTTGGCCTTTTATCATGGTTGGACCTTAAATATCCTTTAATTGTTTTCTTTTTTTTCCATTTTCCTCAAACATCAAATCCTTTAATTATATATGAGACTAAAAATCTTCATATTTATAAATTAAATCCTAAAATATCTTTAATAATTATCTTTAGAGCACCATACATGTATGTGTTCCTTTAAATTTTGATATTCTAATATGGTTAACTTATAATCATATTGGTTAAATTATATTTGTACTTTATCAGTTGGCTTTTCAGTCATTGTGTATCCCTTCATGATTCCTGATCACTTTTGTCATTGATTTTTTTTTCTGCATTCCTGCCTGATTTTTTTAAAATTGCGTCTATACACACACACACTACACCAACTAAAATTGAGTGATTACAATAATCGATGGTTATAATTTCAAACAACTCAAGAGACTTAGGATTTAATTGAGAAATATGAATTTCAGAGTCTCGAACGCAATTAAGGGCAAATTGCACATCTTGCCTCTTTATACCTCTACTAACACTTAGCAATTAGCACCTCCATATTTTTCATTTTCTAAAGGACAATCGAAGACAACACCATTTCCTTGTAAATTAAGGACGTAATTGATAATTAATTAATTAAGGGGTGTTAAATTAAAAAATTTATCCCACAGTTATCCAGAAGAGCACGAATCAATTTTGAGGTCTAATATGAAAAAAAAAAGGTTTTTTAGATATTAGTCTCTTAGAGTAGAGGTATTATGATATGAACGGTGTTAGAGACACACCATGAGGCACACATCCGGTCACACTCCCCCACCTGCTACAGTGCAGGGGGCCCCACAGGAGATTTTTTTTAAAAATCTCCTGTGGGGCCCCCTGCACTGTAGCAGGTGGGGGAGTGTGACCGGAGGTGTGCCTCATGGTGTGCCTCTAACATTTCTTTTATGATATTAATCCCTCAAATCTTCGTATTTTGATATTAGTCCCTTAAATTGCTTTAATGTGTTGATATTAGACCCTGCAATTAATAGATGTTAAATCTTGAGAGTAATATTATGTTTTCTCTAATAAATCCATTAACTGAACAGCTAGGCCCTCACTAACACAATTCTATTTAAAATTAACCCCTTATGACTTCAAAATCTAGACTTGTTTCCTCTTTCTTCTTCCCTCAATTGTAATACTTTCTCAATGAAACCCCAAAAAAACAACAGCTACTACTTGGACTTCACAAATAAGAATTGATTCCAAAATCAGGCTAAATTAGACTTCACACATGAAGACTTAACAATAGAGTATCCATTAAAATCCCAATAAGTATTCCACAACACAGTATTCATATAAAACTATTAAAAAGTTAATTGAAAACTGATATTCAACAAAATTCTATTGAATTCAGCCTAAAACCAAGGCAAAATTTAGCACTAGAAATAAATTGAAGTCTATATTTGATAGAAATCCCAAACCCCTTAACACTAAAACAACACTAAAAATCCCAAAAAGAAGATGACTTGCATGATCCAAAAAACCCAAAAAAAACGAAATTAAATGATAAAAAATGACCTCTACAATAGCTTAATTACGACCTACTTTGTTTCACCTAAATCTTACGGGGATTCTTTGTCTTCATTCCAGAGAAAGAGATCAGATTGAATTTATTGTCAAATCGGGGGTAAAATCGAATTAGGGTAAAAAACCCAACCCAATTTTCTTCCGGAGAGAGCAATAACTAGATAAGACAGAGAGAGAATCAGTGTTGGATGACGATTAAATAGTAAGGATATTTAGATAACCAGGAACCTCATGTTTAGTCTTAACCTAACCAGGGTTAGGAGTTTTGAACAGAAAAGCAAGCAGAAGGACTAATATCAACAAACTAAAGCAATTTGAGGCGCTGACACAAAATGTAAAGATTTGAGGAACTAATATCACAATAACTCTAATCTTAAGGGACTAACATGTAAAAAAACCTCCGCGCTTCCCAGAGAGCAAGTGGGCGGCTGGGGAACTGTCGAGATGCGGTGACCGTAACCGGGTCGGTCACCGGATCCGGCGACAGCTATAAAATACATGTCTTTGAACGGTTAGGATGTGTTTAGCAAAAGAATAATGTGGAGATCCTTTGTTGCATAAATATATGAAAATAAAAAGAAAAAAGAAAAAAAGAGCAAGAATCAATTCGGATAAGCGGGGAATACTCTGCCCGTCTGCCGACAGACAAGTGACACTGTAACCGAATAATTTAATTAATTAAATTTAATTAAACTACTATCTATGATAAGTAAGCTGCTTTAGGGAGTACATGTTCTTGTAGATTAGTTTTTGACAGGGATTCTGATTTCTTTCTACAGCTGTTTTAAGACCATAGAGAAATAGAAAAAGACAAAAAAAATATATTATTCATCTAACTCTAAACTCTCTTAAATAGAGATTACGAGGATATTACAAAATATGTATGAGATAAAATTATATCCAATCTTATCTGTATTATCTTTCAATCACATATTCCTAATATATTATTCCTAATATTATATATTTCTATAATATATTCCTTAATATTTCCCCTCAATGTGGAGCATGCATTCACACACTTTTATCTGTGAGGATGCTTCAAAGTAATCTTGATCATCTTATCTTTCACTTGGATGTCCCATTAGAGCTCCACCAATCAAATAATCCTTTCAGAATCCAACAATAAATAATCTTTTTTTAAGTATCCAATAACAAATGATCATGTTATAGTCATTTTAGTGCTGAAAAACAATCTCCAATTAAGGACAAATAAGTGTCACACATTATACGTAATCGAGCCAGCACTTTAAAATAATACAAGACCCAGCTCGGACGACTCGACACACCGACATATCGCGAGGACGACTCAAATGGTGTTACATGTCGACCCTTGGCTAGGTTGACTCCCTGATTGACCTACTCGTCCGGCCATTCCGCCGACATTTTGCGAAGGCGACTCAAAGAGCGGTACTTCTCGACCACTGGACGAGTAAAAGGTGACGAAATTCCTCGAGCCTTGAGCCCCTCCCCACGCACTGATAACCAATCACCTCGTAATAAAATGTCATTAAATACATTATAGGCGCCATCATTCATCTACCCCCAATAGTTTTTATGACACATCGGATCACGTCAGCACCGCACGCTCCCAATCACTTTGTATTAAATACCAAGATGACCTCTCCTCCACTCGTCAACCAACACATGTGAAGCAGATGCTGACGTGGCCACTATCCCGTACTCGACCGAAGTTACCATTCTACCATTCTATCACCACTATAAATATGAATACTATTTTCAACAATAATGTAAGATCTTTTTCTCCATCCACTATACTTAAGAACTTCTGTAGTTCATTTACTTCTCCACTCAAGCATATTACTAACTTGATCGTCGAAGGAACAAGCGGAAAACTCAACCCCGCCCTCTTACGATTTGCTACTTATGCAGGGAAGAGTCTACTCCAGAACCAGACATTCGGAGGGTTAGAAAACCTTCGTCAACTTAATCACTTCTTTTATTGACTATTTGATATCAGCCATCAATAGATCCTTTCCAAGATCTAACAATAAATAATTCTTCTTGAAGTATCCAACAACAAATAATCATTCTTTAAAGATCTGACAAACAAATGGTGAAGTTGACTTTGGGCTCTAACAAAGATTGATAAGGAGGCAGAGGTTGACAATAAGGACAAGATCGAATCGTCGAATCTAGGTGAGATCAATCATCAAAGTAGAGGATTTAGGCCATGAAGGTGATCAAAGATCCATATGAACAACAACTAGGGCAAAATACCGTGGATGAACAGTACCAATTGTTCGCGGGGAAAACTGTTGCTTTCTTTGTTATTGATTCCATTGTCATCTTGAGTTATAACTTTTTGAGTTACAAAAGATCCGGTCTTTTTATAAGATCCGGTTACAACGAAAATCAAATAAAAATAAATAAAGATTACAATTTTTCTCCTTTTGTGTCGAACGAATCGCGAGCTCCTGTTTTGCGGTCGCTCGCTTTGGTGGGTTCTTTGCCTGCGCCGGGGTTTATCCGTGGACCACCGCGAGATCTAGATCCGGTCGGATCTAAGCAGTACGACGGGTATTATTTCACCAAGGAAATAATAGCCGGGGAGGATTGGTTCACCAAGGAAACAATCGTCCAAGTCTCGGGATCTAAGACCAAGCTTAGATCCGGAGTACGTCTGCGTAGATCTGAGATCCGATCCTCTCGAACACCTGCCTTATTTGACGTTGATGATCGCCGAGCACCAGATCTGAAGGAGTGAGTCCCCGAAGTCCCAAAGTTTCAATCTTTTTTAAGTTCCGAGTCTCCAATCCAGCAGGGCTTCGCCTCTCTCCAAAATTTCCAACCTTTTGAAATGAAGAACCCCTTGGCCTATTTATAAGCTCTCGTCATTGTGCCCGTGCCCGTGTGCACGTGTGGCCAGCTCAAGGTGGCCGGCCACCTCAAGGTGGCTCGGCTCATGCCGAGCCACCCTGAGGTGGCTCGGCCACCCCAGGGGGTGGCTCGGCCTTGGCCGAGCCACCCTG